CATTTTAAACTCGCAGTGTAGCACAATTTTTGTAAGCACAAAGATCCTAGTTTGAATTCTTTAAATAATTTATTTACCCTTACACTGTTGGCTCCTACACAAAGAAAATGATTTTGACACTCATACATTTAATATACATTGATTTTAACAAAAGTTAAAATGTACTAATATATTGGAATGCAGTCAGTAAGATAACCTGTTTCCGTTAGTATTTAAACGGCATGGCTCATTGGCTTCACTCAGCCAGCCCGCATAGCTCAATCGGTTAGAGCGCGAGACTTGTAATCTCGAAATTGTGGGTTCGATTCCCGGGCTGGCCAACTAAATTTTACTAATCAGTCTTTCGGAGGAGACTTTAAATCGTGGTCCTGTGTATAAACATTAAATATTTGTCGAATGGTATAATACATTGTGTAGATTGTTTGAGTACTCGTTCTGTAAATATTTGTTGTTCTCAATAGAACAATTGCTTTTGCAGAGTATGATAACTTATACGCGTTAAAACATATTGGGCCAATATTACGTGCTGCCGTTGGCTGTCATTTGCTGATTTAGTACATGTTGTAGAAAAAAACTTCATCATTACATACACACTGGACGAAGACGTGCCGCGACTGTGTTAATATATCAATTTTCACGTTTTTACTAAAGTTTTTTTTTGCGTAAATTATGCCTTGGTGATACAATGTCATAGTTTTTGAAGCTCTAATGGTTTTATTAAATATAGTTAATGGCATATACATTCGCAACTACGTTAAAATATGGAGTAAATATTTATTCAAACATGTTATAATAAATAATTCTTGCAGCGGGAGACTTTTTTCCACGGACGCTGCTTTTTACCTATATTGGTGGAACGGATAAAACTACTTAGTTGCTGCCGTCTAGAAATAAAAGATAAAAATACCTCTACAAAAAATAAGTTTTTAATACGGTTTAAGACACATTAATTTGTTTTAAAATAAACGTTTAAAAAGCCATGTCTACAAACTTACACGAAAACAATGTATTTAACATTATTTAAGCTGTATATGAAATATTAATATTGATTTCAGTATCGTTTAACTAACTATAAACCCACCATTTAGAATTAAATTGCAGACAAGAATTTTATTATGTTAAGTAGTAAGAATGGTAGACAATCGAGAATAAAGCCTAATAGGATAGCAAGAGTTATTTTTCTTGCTTCCCCTACTTTCCGGAAATAACGCAAAAGAGTTAGAAATGATTTTGTACTAAATTTTTTCAAATGCCCTGTGCACAACTTTATCAGCTTTGCTCACCAAGTCAAAGACAGACATGTGGAAGCATATTGTTTATACTTTCATAAAAAAATTATCAGAACAATAGGAAAATTTTGAGTTTCGCGCAACAGCGATCTCAAAATTAGAAAATTGGTCATTTTTAGCTAAAAATAGCACATATTTCAAATTAATTAGACCGTGACCTGATTATGAGATGCATTAACCTGTTGATTTATCAGTTCTTAAAAATTTAAGTGTACTTACAGTCACTTTTCGATGTAAACAGAGAACATATACGAATAAAATAAACATTTACGAAGTTGATTCTGTTAGTTAACGGATAAAATTTTATAACAGCTATGGGTTATAAAAATGATAACGTGTTTAAGTTACACCCCTGACTGTAATAATCTTCAAAGATAACTGTTAAAAATATACCGAAAGACCTTGACCTTCATTCATTAATGACATTGTCTTTTAAGGTCAAATTATTGAAATTTTCATTGTTTTGGCGGTAACTGACTGTAACTTTGCTATTATTGAAGGGATAAACTTCATATTATAACAGAACATTCTTAAGGACCAGACCTTGTTGTTTATCAAACCCAAATTTGCTTTGGCTCTTTAATGACCTTGACCTTGAAGGTTAAATAACTGAATTTTCTCAGATTTGTGCATTTATTGGTGTGTGTGTGTATGTATATATCCTGTATAGTATATGTATTATATATATATATATAAATTTGTGTGTGTATATATATATATTATATATAAATAAATATATATATTTATTTAATTTTACCCATGAAATATGGTGCTATATCAGTCAAATATATTTCATATTTTTAAGAAAATAAATATGAAATATAAATATGAAAGTGGGCGGAGTCAAAACTCATATTTATTTTAAGGGACTTCTTTCGCCGTTTTGTTTGAAAAATCTGATAAATACAAAACAACTTTTTCTTGTATATTGTTTTGAAAACTATCGAGCATGATAGAAAATGGTCTAACTAAGAAAATTAATCCGAACACCAATATCTTTAATTCAGTAACGAAGGCTGTACAGATGTTAAAGAGTTGTTTACATGACTTCACAATGTAGCGCCAAACAGCGCGTGCTTACGCATTTATAAATTACTGCGCGCTGTACATTTGCAGTTGGTAGCAAGCAAGGGGATTCGTTACCATTTTCTTTGATAATGAAATTAAATAAAAAGGTTATTTTATCGTTTTTCGGGAAATATGGTATATATTTTCACTCAACATGATAAAATGCCACATATTTTCACTCGCCGTACCGGCTCGTGAAAATATGTGGCATTTTATCATGTTTCGTGAAAATATATTCCATATTTCACGCAAACGAAAAAATATCCTCTTAATATTTAGAAATATTGCGTCATTTTTTCTATTTTTAGAAATTGCGTCATTGTTGCTATTTTCAGAAATTGCATCATTTTTCTATTTTTAGAAATTGCATCATTTTTGCTATTTTTAGAAAATGCGTCATTGTTGCTATTTTTAGAATTTATTGCTATTTTTAGAAATTTCGTCATTTTTTTCTATTTTTAGAAATTGCAACATTTTTGCTATTTTCAGAAATTATTGCTATTTTTAGAAATTGCGTCATTGTTTCTATTTTTAGAAATTGCGTCATTTTTTCTATTTTTAGAAATTGCGTCATTTTTTTATTTTTAAAAATTCCATCATTGTTGCTATTTTTAGAAATTGCGTCATTATACCCCCAAAAACGAAGTTTGGGGGGGTATATAGGAGTCAGCCGGTGGTCGGTCGGTCGGTCGGGCGGTCGGTCGGTCGGTCCAGACGTCCGTTGCATTTTCCTTGTCCGGAGCATAACTTGAAAACCATAACTCTACCTACAGTAATTACAGAGTTATTGCCCTTTGTTGCTTTTCCATTGCTTTTTTTTGTCCGGACCATAACTTGAAGACTAAATGTTTGAATTCAATATAACTACAAACAATGGTCAAGCACATTGAGAGGAAGTGCAGTGCACAAGAACCATAACTCTATCTTGACTAATTACAGAGTTATTGCCCTTTGTTAATTTTCCTTGTCCGGGGCATAACTTGAAAACTACTGGTTGGAATTCAAAACAACTTCATACAATTGCCAAACACAATAAGGGAAAGTGCAGTGCACAAGAACCATAACTCTATCTAAAGTAATTACAGAGTTATTGCCCTTTGTTGCTTTTCCATTGCTTTTTTTTTGTCCGGACCATAACTTTAAGACTAATAGTTTGAATTCAATATAACTATATATAATGGTCAAGCACATTGAGAGGAAGTGCAGTGCATAAGAACCATAACTCTATCTTGACTAATTACAGAGTTATTGCCCTTTGTTACTTTTCCTTGTCCGGGGCATAACTTGAAAACTACTGGTTGGAATTCAAAACAACTTCATACAATTGTCAAACACAATAAGGGGAAGTGCAGTGCACAAGAACCATAACTCCATCTAAAGTAATTACAGAGTTATTGCCCTTTGTTGCTTTTCCATTGCCTTTTTTGTCCGGACCATAACTTGAAGACTAATGGTTGGAATTCAATATAACTTCATACAATGGTCAAGCACATTGACAGAAAGTGCAGTGCACAAGAACCATAACTCCATCTTGACTAATTACAGAGTTATTGCCCTTTGTTACTTTTCCTTGTCCAGAGCATAACTTGAAAACTACTGTTTGGAATTCAATACAACTTCATACAGTTGTCAAGGACATTAAAAGGAAGTGCAGTGCACAAGAGCCATAACTCCATTTTGACAAAATACAGAGTTACTGCCCTTTGATGCTTTTCCTTGTCAGGAGCATAACTTAAAACATACTGGTTGGAATTCAAAACAACTTCATACAATGGTCAAGCACAATATCTTCAGTATTTATAGAGTTATTGCCCTTTGTTCCTTTTCTTTGTCTTTCTGGACTTATTACAGAGTAATTCAATTAAACTTCATCAATGGCCAACCACATTGAAAGGAAATGCAACATATAAGAACCACAATTATCTTTAATTGCCCACAACCATAACTCTATATTTCAATTCTTTTACAAGGTATTCTGTTACAAGTAACATCCTCATTTCAGAAGCAGTCTTGTGGGGGTATTAATCACATTTAGTGATAGTTCTAGTTTTTTCTATTTTTAGAAATTGCGTTATTGTTGCTATTTTTAGAAATTGTGTTATTGTTGCTATTTTAGAAATCGCGTCATTGTTGCTATTTTAAGAAATTGCGTAATGTTGCTATTTTTAGAAATATGCTTTATGTTTCTATACATATATATATACAAAATATATAAACAAAACTAATGTGACAAGACAGACCAACTAAATTTATAAAAATGAAACGTTAATATATATTCAAACCTTTCTATGTTTGCGTTTAGAAAAAATTAAAAAGTCGAGCGTTGCCCCCGCCCGGCTGTGGCTCTTGTGTCATTTAAGTTAGTCTTTCTGTAATGCTTTCCTGCTAAAATATCATTTGGTTATTTATGAAACATTAATTTTCAAAATCTTGGGCATTAGATTATTTAAAATCACTCAACCTTTATCATTATGTCCTAAATTCTGGTTATAAACGGCTAAAAATCATTGAATACCAAAGATTATGAGGAAAAAAAAAAATTCCCGAAATGACCAAATTATTACGATATTGGCCGATGTCAGAATAACTTTTTTTGCGGGCAAGCAATGCAGTAAGACTACATTAATTGGGTACTTGTTGCAGGAGTTGCAGAAAAGACTGAACGATGTCTCAGAGTTGAACCGTGAGTTCCGTAAACAGATATCTGACTTGAAAAAAGATAAATGCGAAGCTGTAGAGAGGTACGTTGCTATTTTACAGTGTAGTTTTTTATTAAAGTAGTTATTTTATAGTGTTATTATACCCCCAAAAATGAAGTTTGGGGGGGTATATAGGAGTCACCCGGTGGTCGGTCGGGCGGCCGGTCGGTCCAGACGTCCGTTGCATTTTCCTTGTCCGGAGCATAACTTGAAAACTTACGGTTGGAATTCAATATAACTACATACAATGGTCAAGCACATTGAGAGGAAGTGCAGTGCACAAGAACCATAACTCTATCTTGACTTATTACAGAGTTATTGCCCTTTGTTACTTTTCCTTGTCCGGGGCATAACTTGAAAACTACTGGTTGGAATTCAAAACAACTTCATACAATTGTCAAACACAATAAGGGGAAGTGCAGTGCACAAGAACCATAACTCTATCTAATTAATTACAGAGTTATTGCCCTTTGTTGCTTTTCCATTGCTCTTTTTTTTTTGTCCTTTGCATTTTCCTTGTCCGGAGCATAACTTGAAGACTAATAGTTGGAATTCAATATAACTACATACAATGGTCAAGCACATTGAGAGGAAGTGCAGTGCATAAGAAACATAACTCTATCTTGACTAATTACAGAGTTATTGCCCTTTGTTACTTTTCCTTGTCCGTGGCATAACTTGAAAACTACTGGTTGGAATTCAAAACAACTTCATACAATTATCAAACACAATAAGGGGAAGTGCAGTGCACAAGAACCATAACTCTATCTAAAGTAATTACAGAGTTATTGCCCTTTGTTGCTTTTCAATTGCCTTCTTTTTTTGTCCGGAGCATAACTTGAAGACTAATAGTTGAAATTCAATATAACTACATACAATGGTCAAGCACATTGAGAGGAAGTGCAGTGCACAAGAACCATAACTCTATCTAAAGTAATTACAGAGTTATTGCCCTTTGTTGCTTTTCAATTGCCTTCTTTTTTTGTCCGGAGCATAACTTGAAGACTAATAGTTGAAATTCAATATAACTACATACAATGGTCAAGCACATTGAGAGGAAGTGCAGTGCAGAAGAACCATAACTCTATCTAAAGTAATTACAGAGTTATTGCCCTTTGTTGCTTTTCAATTGCCTTCTTTTTTTGTCCGGAGCATAACTTGAAGACTAATTGTTGGAATTCATTATAACTTCATACAATGGTCCAGCACATTGAGAGGAAGTGCAGTGCACAAGAACCATAACTCCATTTTGACTTATTACAGAGTTACTGCCCTTTGTTTCTTTTCATTGTCCAGAGCATGACTTTAAAACTACTGGTTGGAATTCAAAACAACTTCATACAATGGTCAAGCACAATAAGGGGAAGTGCAGTGCACAAGAACCATAACTCCATCTTGACTAATTACAATGTTATTGCCCTTTGTTACTTTTCCATTGCTTTCTTTTGTCCGGACCATAACTTGAAGACTTATTGTTGGAATTCATTATAACTTCATACAATGGTCAAGCACATTGAGAGGAAGTGCAGTGCATAAAAACCATAACTCCATCTTGACTAATTACAGAGTTACTGCCCTTTGTTACTTTTCCTTGTCCAGAGCATGACTTGAAAACTACTGGTTGGAATTCAAAACAACTTCATACAATGGTCAAGCACAATAAGGAGAAGTGCAGTGCACAAGAACCATAACTCCATCTTGACTAATTACAGAGTTATTGCCCTTTGTTACTTTTCCTTGTCCAGAGCATAACTTGAAAACTACTGTTTGGAATTCAGTACAACTTCATACAGTTGTCAAGGACATTCAAAGGAAGTGCAGTGCATAAGAGCCATAACTCCATTTTGACAAAATACAGAGTTACTGCCCTTTGATACTTTTCCTTGATCGGAGCATAACTTAAAACATACTGGTTGGAATTCAAAACAACTTCATACAATGGTCAAGCACAATAAGGGGAAGTGCAGTGCACAAGAACTATAATTCTATCTTCAGTATTTATAGAGTTATTGCCCTTTGTTCTTTTTCTTTGTCTTTCTGGACTTATTACAGAGTAATTCAATTAAACTTCATCAATGGCCAACCACATTGAAAGGAAATGCAACATACATGAACCACAATTATCTTTAATTGCCCACAACCATAACTTTATGTTTCAATTCTTTTACAAGGTATTCTGTTACTAGTAACATCCTCATTTCCGAAGCAGACTTGTGGGGGTATTAATCACATTTAGTGATAGTTCTAGTTTTTGATACTGGAAGTAAAATTGTGCCTCTCCAAGAGTAAATGGTGAGTGTTTAGGTATAGGTAAAATAATTTTACATTTTGTCATTTTTGATTTCAATTTTATAAAAAGCGTTACATGAGTAATCAATAACATCCGTGACCCATGAAATATCGATAAATATCCTTCTTAAATATAACTTTTGTTTAATTTATTAAAATGATGGTAAGATTGCAAAATTGATAAATACACAGCCTCTGTGTGAATGAATCTGTCCATGGACTGTAGGGGTAAGAGTAAGGTGTCCTAATTGCACTCTGGCACCAGCTCAAGGAGAATTCAACCATTTTAAAAATGTATATACTTAGAGACCTCTTCAGATGTTCTTAATACAGCAATCATAGCACCTTCAATCACTTCTCACACATGGCTCCCTTCATAGGCCCAGGGAAAAAAAACCCAAGGTCATCAATACAAAACACATTAAAAATGTTGTTACTACTTTCTCCAGTGCAAAAAGATTCATACATAGTCTAAACAAAGAGATGATTTTGTTGTATATATTCTCTAGGGCACACAGAGCCAGTGAACAGGTTGCTGAGACGTCAAAAAACAAACTCATGGAAGAACTGAAGTTATCGTTTGATGCTGAACGATTAGATATCATCACTAATTACGAATCTGAATGTAATAAACTCAGGTAAGAGATGTGTTAGAAATGCTTTATATTTGATTCCGCCTGAATAACTCGATAGGGAAAGAATTGTATTTGATATTCACAGTTTTCCTGTTCGATACTAAGGCAAGGCGAAATTTCTCTATGAGGTTCGGTTTATACAGAATTTATTTTAGTTTGATTGTGTAGGAAGCTATAAGCTTATAGACACACTTTCTAATCTATTCCTTGAACCAACCAGTACTGAGCAATGAATGTAAAGTTTCTTGCTTAAGGAAACAATGACTTGCCTCTGACGGGTTTGAACCCATACGGACACGTTAACCACTCAGCCATGCCGCCACACATTGGCAGGGCCAAAACACCATTTTTGGGGAAGGGGCCTCAGCCTTTTTCTTGGGGAAAATATGCATGATTTTGGCATACTTTGGGAAAAGGGGTCTCAAAATTAACACAAACTTTTAACAAGGTCTTCAAAATAGAAAAGCAAAAAAACACTGGGAAATACAAATAAGGCAGTAAAAGACCTTAATTCAACACCATTATTTAACTTTATTCTTAATTCTATGGGAAATGTCAAAAGACTGGGGAATTTTGAGGACCAAACTGGGGAAAAAAAGAGGCTAGTTTGGTTGGGGAAGCAGCCTATATTCGGCCTCTACAAAGAAGGGTTTTTTGGCCCTGATTGGTTTGACAGTTTTTTTTCTGTTGGACAATTGATCATGCTCATTGAGTCTAGTGGTTATTTGTCTACTACCGCTGTTTCAGAAGCTACAGAAATATTTCAGAAACTGGTAATTACTGGTTAGTTATCCAGTAAAAGCCAGTTAGGTTGATAACCTGCCGTGATAAGTTCGATATTGGCATATAGACCAATTTGAAAAAAAAAAACACACTTAAAGAATTATGAATCCTAGTGAATTTGTAGATATTGATTGTTGACCGGTATTATTGTTATAATCCTGAAACCACTCTTGCTTTGTTTTGACAGTTTTTGTAAACATGTTTAAAGCTTGTCTATTGGAGGAGTAAAGGAGAGCTATTGTTCTCACACAGGCGTTCGCATTGCTTTAAAACTGGTGTATTTGCTTGCAAGTTCATATCTCCAAAACTACTGAAGGGAAAGGGTTGAAACATAACACACTTGTGTGATGCGATTACCTTTCAAGATGGGCTCCAGTCCCATAACTCTGAATGGGCTAAGGTCCCATAACCTTGAATGGGCTCAGGTCCCTTAACTGTTGACAGTTGTGCCATTAAAAGTGAAGCACGGAGTGCTCTGTCTTATGAACAGATCTTGTTAAAACAAATTTCGTCCCAAGAGAGGATGTTTTCCACTGTGATGTCAAAATTTGACAAGATTTCAGTACGGCAGCTTCAAAGCATGCTTACTACATTAAGTCTGTATTCCAAAATATTCTGTTAGGTAATTATCTGAGTTTGCATAATTTGCGCCCTATACATTGAAACCATTAGCCTCCTGGGGGCAACTGATTCTATCATTCTATCCATTCAACCATTGCAGAACAAGATCACCATTTACTTCAGTGCTGTTTGATCTTTGTCTGCAGTGTTTGCTTAAAAAAATGATGAACAGTTGCGTCCAAATTGAAATTTGACATGTGAATGTAAGATTTTTATTGTGTTTTTAGGTTTGATATTTAATTGTTATAACATATGTTATTTTTCTGTTAACAGGGAGGAATTAAAATCTACGCAAAAGGAATATGCGAAGATGTGTGAAGAAAGGGACAAAATATTAAATATTCATACAGAATGGCAGGGACAACTTGAATCCTATATACAACAGGTGAGAAGAACTACAATGTCATTTATGTGAAAGGAATGAAAAAAGAAAAAAAATGAAACATTTTTATTTTATGTTGATTTTTGTGAACCCTTCGAAAGTCATTTGATTTTATTAAAAAGAAAGAAGGTAATTAAAGAGAAACATATTTATTTTATCTTGATTTTTGTGAAAGTTTGAATCTCATTTGAATAAACCATAGAGTTTACTTATTGTATTTTGTAACTTTTCTCGGGAGAATGAATTAAATAAAAGATTTTGAAAATAAAACTTCAACTGAAATTGAAAATATAATTTGTCATAAATCGTAGGACTTGGGATACACTTGGGACTTTCTATGATCTTTCCTAATCTTTAGTTTGAGAACACAGGGCCCTAGTGTCATAAGAACCATAGTTATGGCCTCAGTAGGGCTCAAACCCATGATCCTGGTGGCGTCCCTGGCCGAGTGGTTTAGGTCATTGACTTCAAACCACTTGCCCCTCTCCGCTGTGGGTTCAAATTCCGACAGGGACTTTGGATTCTTTCATGTGAGGAAGCTATCCAGCTAGCTTACGGAAAGTCGATGGTTTTACTCAGGTGCCTGTGCGTGCCTGAAATAATGCATGGAAGGGCACCTGAGGTCTTCGTCCACCAGTAAAGCTGGAATGTTGCGATATGACCTATACTGTGTCGATGTGACATAAAACCCAAAACAAACAAACCCATGATTCCTCGGTTGAGAGGCAACAGGGAAAATCTTTTGAAATCTTAGAGGATACACTATAAGTTTCCAATGGATGGTTACGGACCAATAATTATTAATATACTTTTATTTTTAAATCAGGTCACAGATGCAATGAAAAAAGAAACAGAATTATCAGTATTAAGGGCAGAAGAAAACTGGGCCAAACAAAAGGAGGTGGAGATAAAGAATGTTAAAGAAGAATTGGCACGAGAATTTAACGAGAAACAGAATAAACTTAAAGAGAATATACGAGAAACTTGTGATAATGAACGGAAACTTATGGTACAGAAATTGGAGACTGAACATTGTGATAAGATGAAGGCAGCTGAGGAAAGGTTTGAGTTGAAGTTGAAGACAAAGGTGAATGATCTAGAAAAATTGGACAAAGAAAAAGTGAACGAGATTGAAAAATTGAAGAAAGTGATTATTGATAAGGAGTTGTATTTAAGTAAAAAAGAACAAGCATTTAAGGAGAAAGAGTCTGTGTTAACAAAAAAGGACCAGGTTATTGAAAGTTTGAAGTCAGAACATAAGACAAATATGAAGAAAATGGAGGAAATTGAAAAAATTTTAAAGCAAACTTGTGAAAAGTTAGAAAAAGAACTTGTTGATAAATCTGCACAGCTTGAACAGAAAACAGATGAAGTTAACAGACTGAAGAAAGAGTTGGAAAAGATGGGGTTGGAAAAAGAATCTGAAATAAAGAAATGGAGAAGAGAAGAGATGGAAAGAACTGAAATTGATAAGCATACTTTGAAAACATGGCAAACTGAAGTAGAGAATCTGAAGAAGGAAGTGATTCATTTGAAGTTGGAGATAAAAAAGTTGGATTATAGCAAGCAAATGGAGGTACGTAAGACTGACATGCAGTTCTTTCTCCCAATTTTAAACCGTTTTAACTGAAGGTCTGATTGTCTTTCTTTTCATAGACTGTGAATCATCTTCTGTACTCAGAGTATTGTTATCGGAAGACACATTTGCTTCAGTAAGTGGGAAGAAGTTCGTTTAGACATTTTATTCCGATCACGCTTGATTTACACGAACAAAATTACATTTGGACTGGTTTAAATTTGTGTACTTTTTTAAGCGAGGTTAAGGTATAGAAAATGTAAACCAGACAGCAAGTGCGTGCATAGTTTATAACTCGGCTACCTGCGAATATTACGCCCCATTTATATTTCGCATTTTCCTGACGAGCGTTCTCAAATTTTTCTTTAACTGGCAAAAAATTGCGAGTTGACATAAATCTAACTCGCAAAATCATTTTTCAAGTAGCATTTTGTGAGTTTGCAAGTGTTAAATTCGAGCCCTGGTAAAGTGCCAAAATTCAGAGCTGACAAAGTTTAAAGGCCAAGCATGGGAAAAAGGTTATAATAAACTTTTAAAAGTGAAATATAGCATATATTGCTGTCAAATTATAAAATTCTTAAGTTGAAATCCCCATTTCTATAAATGGACAATCAGTGGACAATGCTAATTTCAGAGTAGGATAATTCCATTACTAAAATCAAGGGTGAAAAGATGAATACAGTTGATTAAGGTAGAGAGTTGAATTAAAAAAATTTTGATTTTGAAATCTTCATTTTTAACAAACTCTATTAGTACATTTCAAATGAATATAATTATCTAAAGTTTGGAATTTTTTGTTATCAAAATCCATATTTTTTTATCAATTGACATTGTTTCAAAGCCTGAAAAGTCCATTACTTAAACTAGGGTTGGAAAGGTTAAATTGATGGTTTCAAGTGGTGGTGTTTATAAAAAGTTTGATATAGAAATCCCTATCTGATCAATGGACTGAGTGCCAGTTTCAAAGCCAGGCAAGTCCATTTCTAAAACTAGGGTTGGAAAGGTTAAGATAATAGTTTAAAGTAGTCTTGTTAGTCCCCTACCGGTTTACCGGAGGGGACTTTAGGTTTACCCTCTATCCGTCTGTCCGT